CCGATGCTTTATTTGCGCTGGATTTCTGCATGAGAAGTGCCTCCCTGTCTCCGTGTGCACACTTTGCCGCGGAGCTCGGAACAGACTCTGCTTTTTGTCTCGGTGTAAACGAAAGCTGGGGTTCCTGTATGCTGCTGGTGGGGGGACAGACCCCAACACATGTGGCTTTGAGGAGCTGGGGGACACAGGGTGCTTCTGCTTTGCCCCTGCTGTGTTTGGGAAGGAGCTCAGCTTCCGCAGGGGAGATGGGATGTGGGAAAGCTGTCCTGATTTAGTGGCTGGGGGGGGGAATCCTCTTTGGGGTGGAGTGTCTGTTTTCTGAAGGCCTTGGGAAGGGTTTGCTCCAAGTGCTGCCTGTGCACCACGGACCTCTCGCAGCTGATGCTGTTCCTCCTGGAAACCAGACAGGTTTCTTATAGAACCTTATAGAATTCCATAGAATCCCAACCCCTTCTGCAGGGCTCTGCTCCCTCCAGCCCACCTGCGGCCGTTACCTCCTCCCCATGGCTGGTTTCTCCCTGCAGCGGATGCTACTGGAGATGAGTTTAAACCAGTGATGCCTCGCAGGGTTTGGGCTGAGCCTGTGTAAAGGCTGCCCGGCATTGACCTTGCTGGGGTGAGGGGGAAGGCTGCAGATGAATGTTGACTTTCCTAAACTTGCTTATCCGTGCCTGGGGCCAAGAAACCTTGTGGAAAAACCCAGCTCCGTTGCGATGCCTGTTCTGTTCCCATCAACAGCAGCGGGGGGAGGACGGGACAGGCCCCGCTCTGTTTTTTGTGGGGCTCAGTGGTGGGAGGTGGGAGCAGCAAGATGAGCAGAGCCCTTTCCCAAAGTGACTCCTGACTTCGCAGCTTGGCAACCCCCGTTCTCCTGCATTCACTTGGAATCTTTCCATTGCGGATTAAAGCAGGTTTGTGAAAACAGGCTGGTTTTAGAGTAGGATGTTTGCGAGCCCTCTGCAAAGTGGCGTGGTGTGGCTTTTATTATTTAAAAAAAGAACCGTTTATTTTCTTTTTAAGCTTGTCCCCAGGAATCAGCAGCTCTTTGAAAAGCAGGATGTGAACTTGGGAACCTTCTGGCAGAGCAGAGCCTATTACTTCCTTTGTTTAAACTCTTCTCTCCTGAAACCCTGATACGGAGGCACAAAGGTGACTGTCACCTCTGGATGGCACAGGTCCATGGGTGAGGAAGGGACAGCACAAAGGTGACCATCACCTCTGGATGGTGCAGGTCCATGGGTGGGGAAGGGATGGTGCATTCACATCCAGTGCTGAAGCCTGTGCTGCTGCTGGCTGGATGAGTCTGCCAAAAGCACTTGCTTAAAGCAGCTTGTATTGAACATAAGCAACACTTGGAGCT